AAAGACGATAGGGATAGGCCAACACTATTTTTTTATTAGAAGATTACCATTTGCTTATCATTCATGTGAGGATAAGATATGCAAATCTAGAGTTAAAAAAAATGAAAATTCTTGACTAAACACGCACACACACACACACTTGACTGAAACAAAAACAAAATAAACTTCAAATTTTATATTTAAGTCCAAGCATATTTTGGGTTTCTTCTGTTATAAAAGCTAGTTGTTATTATAGCCCTATGCAGATAAAACCTACCACGTGGGATTAAAGGATGGAGCTACAGCAACAGCTCTACTTCCTGACTATCTTATGTGGGAATTGCTACCTTATTCTATGCTGGTTCATTTTTGCATCTGATTGTTGCCAGTCCTGGTAAATATGAAACTGGGGGTGGTCCTTCTCAGACGATTTCTGAAAAATTGGGAAAACGGTGGATTGCCTAAATGCCACTTACCTACTAATAGGTGAACTATACTTTCTAGACCACAGCCAGCAGTCCTAAAACATGGGGGTTCTCTGAAATGGCCCAAGGAAATGGGCATTTTAATTAATGGCATTTTAACCTAAGAGCCCAATAGAATTCAAAATATTTTACTGCATTTGGCTCAGTGCTAGATTAATGATATTAGCAACCTTTTCCAGCACTGCAGAAAGAAACAGAAAAAAGAAATAAAGACATAAGCAAGGAGAAAACAGCAAATATAGAATTAAAGAATCGGAGCCAGTATAACGGGCATAGACTGGATGTGTGAAAGTGTAAAACCAGAGATAACATTCATTGATATTTCACTGCTTTGTCTGGCTGCTTTTTATACTGGTATAGGGCATCTACGTTCAGGTGCCTTATACCTATTTGTAGTAATAAAAAACAACTCGAGCACATGTATGCACTCTCCATAGGTATCTATTTATAACTGATAGATCAGCAGTAGTTATATGTAATATTTCTTAGCATTTTTCAGGTAGTTTGTTACTCAGCTAAATTCATTTCAAATATTTGAAAGCTTGTTGATGTGTGAATGTATGTTAAAGGTGGTCACTTCCCCCCCACAACAACATACTCAGGGTTAGCACAGGGCTTTAGTTGGCAGAGAAGAACATACAGACTGTGAACGGGAGCATTTGAAAATACTGAAATGCTTATTTGGCTAAATCCAAGAATTCATCTGTCACCATTGTGAATAGATACTGTTTAAGAATTTTGCTATGTCCAGCAATGACATTATTTAATAGTACACATACATATGCATGTATACAGCTTTTCCACACACATTCTATAATAAATTCTTATGTAAAATAGAGACAACCATGCTTAGTAAAAATTCTGCCAAATGATAGTTGTACAGTTCATATATTTCTACATGAAAGGCTGGTGACCACCTTCATTTTTGCAACAAGTTGCCACTGGAAATCCTTTTCATTCCTTATTCCACAGCTGATTGCTCTGTGCTAAAAAGTTTGCCCCTGTCATGTGCTAATTTTGAGGGAGGTGAAAATGCTCTGTTTTCAGATTTCTTTCCTAGTAATCAGTGTGCACTGATGTGTATATTAAACTTCAGCTATGTGTTGTAGAAGTATCTTAATGCTTTGAATACATAATACTGAGTGAACAACCAAAGCTCAAGCATCTTTTAATGTAGATTATTTCCATCAATCTAGCTCTAAATTAGAGACCCAAGGCCACAGCTGTGGTCAATCATTCATCAGACTTTTCCTGTAGAAAATCTCTACTTCCTTATGTTCCTGTGCTCCATTCTGGCTTCCATTTCTCTTTTCATAAAGCCATTGCTTCCCCTGTGCTTATAAGACCCTTCCCTCTTCTTTCCTTACTCCCTGTGCAGAACTCCAACAATCCCTTTTCTTTTGTCCTGCAGACATCCGCTCTAAAGGGTTCTCAATGTGGCACCTTGCTGACATCTTCTCTCCTATTCGCTGCTGCTTATCATTTTTCCTTAAAATAGCCTGTCTCAATATGCCTGCCTTCTCCTTTACCCAGCCTCCTCTTTATCATTCCCTCCCTTTCTTCAGCAACCCTGACTCAAAGCTCCCTCTTTCTAAGGCCTCCTCTGCTGCTCAGTTTGCAATATGATCGCTGCTCAGCCTCTGCAACATCAGCACAGCTCAGCAAATTAGTGCCAGAGGCTTCATTGCTGCCACAAAAAACATTAGTACATTATAGTATTGATAGATTTATTCTGACCCAGAACCCTGCCTGCTCTAATGAGCACATGGGAAAAACTGAGGAAGCAGAAACCTGCATTCACTTCACAGCTCTACAGTTTTTTAAACTTTTGAAGCAGAGGGAAAGATGGGCAGAAAACTAATTAAGGGTTAGTATTTTTGCTTCCCAGCGAAGCTTCAGTTATCTTGCAATTGTAAGTTAGTATGAATTTACCATTTTAAATATCTCAAGTACATTTATTAAATTTTCAAGTGTTACAATAATAGAACAGTAACCCCACCCCAAACTCACATCTGGCAGAGCAGTATCTTAACTCCATATTCTGCTCTTGCTTTCTAAATCAAGGAATCCAGAATCACAGATAACATGTACTGCAGAAATGGCACTAAATAAAGACCTGTTTGTTGTCCTGCCTTCTCCTATGCAAGTTCCTCCCTCTCCATGATGTGTTAAGCAAAGTGGTGCTCTGTGAAACCAGGGTTTGAGGTGCTCTTGCAAACCTTAGTTAGCACAATGTAGGCTTCATCCTACAGAATGACTAGCAGCAATGCAGACTGAAATGACAACATAGTTAAGGTAATCTATGAAAAGGCGGGACGATTCATGCAAGGAGGGAGTACACAATGCGACAGCACACTCCTGATCTCAATATGGTCAGATCAGTAAAGTTATGGCTGCAGTGAGATTTTGATTGCTATCAATCATGTTACATTTGAAACATATGAATGCTATCTCAAGAGCTATTCTTTATTTGTGTTTAAGCAAATCATTGAAAGTATGAGAAATAAAATAAATGAATCTAGCAGATCTACACTTAAAATTCAAAGTGGCCCTGGAAGTAGCGTTAGCGTAAAAACCTACATGTAGGATTGCTCTCAAAATTAACCTTGTTTTGCAAAACCACAGCAAAAACCCACTCACATAAAAATCCTCAATGGCGGTAATGAAATAATTTCAAAAACAGTGAAAGGATTGCAACTTTCATATACATACAGTATTAAGAAAATCTCCTGCACTTCCTTTACATGCAGATTCAAATGATGACTTGCGGACATTCACTAAAAAATGTCTGTTACCATGTCATCAAACTTTACTGAACCACTTGACGATTACCATACTATATGTCAGTGGAAATTCCAAAACTGTTAAGCTAGCTTGAATTAGTTTGTATATAATTCTCAGGAAAAGTTCAGCTGTAATAGATCTGTTCTAAATTATGTTTTGGATGACTGGGAATAAGTCCTCTGCTCATGCACTCTCTTATCTCACTAGTTAAGTCAAGAGTACAAAGAGAAACAACTACCTGGTTTGGGCCAGCTACATCATGCTGGAGCATCCAAACCAGAGAGCTATACTATGCACAAACCCACAATTAATGATAAAACCTCCAGCTGAAAACCAGAATTTTACTCTTCAAACTGATCATGAAAAGGGAGGATAGAGTGTAAAGCAGAGATGGCTAACCTGTGGCCCCCCAGAAGTTGTTGGACTCCAACTTCCATCAGCCCCAGGCAGCATGGACAATAGCTGAGGGTGATGACAGTTGTAGTCCAACATCTACAGGGGCAAATGTTAACTATCCCTGCTATAAACCATTGTTGCTCAGGGATGAAAGGAGTCGTACACCAACAATATGACTCTCTTTTGGTTTGGGCGATTGGAAACATGACATCTGAGCCAAGCTTATTTGTAACAGCAAAAAGTTGCTTAGAGAGAGAAGCCTACAGATTCTTCAGCTAGCACAATATCAGACGGGCATTTTTCTACCTTAAAAAACAGAAAATACCTAGGTATGGCATGTCACATGTTTTCATTCCACTTCAACCAAATAAAATATTTACTCCGGTTCTTTACTGTTACAAAATGTATTTAGGAAATAAAAGTGATTCTGAAAACAATGAAATGGAAGAAGCAAATCTCATTTTGGACATTGCAACAAAGATGATGATGAAAATGTTTTACATGCACATACAAATGAATTTGAACCAGTATGTTGCGATTATAAAGAGCTTAATTTAATCAAATTGCAGCTAATTTACAGCAAGAGCTAAATAATAAACTAAATATATTGCTACTACACAAATTGCTATAGCTTCAATTAACATGGTTATCAATAAATGATCATCAGTCCCTCCTGAACCTTGCTGGTTCTCTTCCCTATGGAGTTTTTAATCCACTTTATTAAACAATTTAAAAATGCAGAAAATTTCACTAACAAGCATATAACGTTAAAAGCTCCTACCAATCTGCATCCCAATAAAATATCATGGGTGAGAACAGGCATCCACTCATGCAGTGGGTCCCCCCCTCTCTTCCTCCATTAGCCCCTCTGTGTGCCCCTAAAACTTGTTCCATATGGTTGAGGGATCCTCTGGAACAGATTTAGGGGGCAGGCTGTGGATGGAGAGGGGAGAAGAAAAACCAAAAGTCCTACTGCATAAGCAGCTTTCCATTGTGCTAATGGGTGTATATCACTGATGTTGCCCCATGCGGATATAGTATTTTGGATCGTTCTTAAATATCAGCACTATTTTGAGACTTGCAGTTCAACTATTACATGAAACACTATGGTATTCCTCCCTAAAGCTTCGCTCTACAGCTCCCATCAGTTCTAAGCAGCTAGGCCAGTGGTCAAGGATGACAGAAGCTGTAGCCCAAAAACACCTGGAGGGCATCAGGTTGAGGAAGGCTACACTATAGCATCCAATATTACACCTTCACTCTGCACTTTACAACCTCATCTTATATTTTAAGAAGCATTTTTGCTGCTATTTTTCTTTCAACTCTACTGAGAGGCCTGCCTCCCTGTGTTTTTTTAAAAAAATGTTTTCTTTTGAAAATATGGGGTAACTCATAAATTAAACAGTTTGGTGAGCTAAACATTTACCTGAAATTTCTGTTTGTACAAAAGTTGATTTTTAGATCGTATTTTTAAATTCAGAAATTCAGATACAGAGATTTCAGGGTCAAAGGCTTAATATATAATAATGGGCGATACTCAACCATCATTCTGAGACCAGACCAACTGAAATCAATAGGTTTACTTTGAGTTTGATTAACATTGGATATCAGCCAACATGCATATGGTAAAGATATAATCGCTGCAAATATCTGATTAGATATATTAAGGGTGATATTCCAATTGTGTCTGACCGCTAGCTGAACATAATTTCCTTTTCTCTCATACCTGGCAGACCCCCAGATATTCACCAAATCCGCTTCCAAGGGTTGGGAGAGGCTTTGGAGCAGATCTGAAGTGGGACTTGAGGGGGTGCAATAGGGAGGATAGGGGAAATTCTGCTTGTGCAACACTGGGTACCACCCTAAATCTTAGAACCGATTCACACTGTCCTTTTTTCCCTTTATGCAAGAGCTTACAAACTGCTCTGGGGTATACACTTATGTGGGGAAATGTGCTGTAAACAAGTATTCCACAGATATAGTCAAGAGTGATTCATGTTGTTGTGTTTGCTCAGGGAGAAAAGGTTTTGTTATCTCCAAAATAACCAAGCCATGTTGGTTTATTATCTGAACATATATGTTACTTTTCCTCTTGTGAGTTTGGGCAGGCATCTAGATAAGGATGGGTAAGGTGCTACTATCATCAGCCTGTTCACAGAAATCTAAACCTAGGTTTAGCAATGTTAAAGAAGAGACTTTGTTCGTTTTGACGTGGAAGGGCGTGCTGCTGATGAATGGAAGATGGAATGTGCTATAATTTGTGTGCAAACACATAGTATGTGATTCTCATATTTTAACGATATGGTCCCCTTAAACAGGGCTTTTTTTCAGCCGGAACTCAGTTCTGGCACCTCTTAGGTGGGCTTCATTGCCATTATAAGAGAACAAGGGTGAGTTCCGGCACCATTTTTTTCTAGAAAAATAACACTGCCCATAACATATTAATTGCAAATTTAACTAAATTGAAAACGTTAAGAAAATTTCCTTGGAATACAATTGGAGAATTACCGTAGTCTATTTACCCGATACTTTTAAGCTACTACAACAGTAACACTACTCATGTGTGAGAGAAATGGACAGGGAGAAACTGGTCCTTAGAACAGCAGATTCTTAAGAAAAAATAAGTTTTAATATTGAGATACACATATGATGTCACTATGAAATAGTATCTCCATCTTCATTTCTAGTTTTTAAATCTGTCTGGTTTTGACACATTAGGTATCTTTTATCCCACTCTTTTAAGTATAGGAATAAGGATGGTTTTTCTGCATCTTTTTTCATCAAACTTACTTGCTTTTCAGTTAGTGTAATGTGCTATATATTTTCATAGAATTGGTGCAAAGTACAGTCATTTTAACTGTCCTGCGGAACTCACTTGTACAACTGTTTTGTGATAACAACTTTCTAGGTTTTTACTTGAGCAAAAGAGAGGCTACATTATATGAGATATAGCCAGCACACGTCACCTACTACCAACCTGGTGTAAACCACATAAAACTTAGTCCCCCAAAAGGACTCTTGATGGAAGGAAGAGGAATTATGTGACAACACTGCAAAACTACAGATAGGAAAAAGTTATTTAACCCACATCTGCAGCAGCTGCAGTAATAAGTTACTTAAAAATCTATTGAAGTATCTGAGTTTCAGAAATGTTGATTATTCAAATCCAGTGAGAAATGTACTCAATATTTCTGAAAAAAACAGGCCACTAATATTTTGAAATTAATTTCAAAGTGGTGCCTGCTCTATTCAATCATGCCAGTGTAATTTGATCTAATCCATAAAATAGATCACTGACAGACATATATGCAGAAAGCCATTTTTATACTGTTTTAGAGTATAATATTGAAACACACTGTACCAGACCTGTAGCAGAAATGTGCTTCTATTATTTATAAAATATAAAGTGCATTATTATCAAAATCACAAAACTGACAGACTTTCTGTCTGGACCATAGTTTTAAAAGAGAGGTCAGGGCTTTACTGTAAAATTCTCTCATGAGAACAGATAATTCAAGAGGTACAAATTGATTTTATCCACCCGGCCCTCCTAGATTTGTTTTTGGCCACGCTTTTTAGTGCAAATAAGCTTGTGTTTTTCTCAAGTTTAAGGGACATGGCATTTTTGGGGTGCAAAGAATAGTTCTTTACATTATAACAGACCCTTCTGCAAACACTACATGTTATTGCCACTCTCCAAAGATGGGGATGTACTGCCAGGTGTAAAAAGAATCTATTTCCCAAATTACCATTTAAGCTCTGAACTTTGTAAATTGACTATATAACCCTTGGATATGACAATATGAAAGAAGCAGTTGCTTCCAATGGATAAGCCAAAATCACTGTATAACTGTATATAGTAGATGGCCACTTTACAGCTCATGTGTAGTCAGTCTCAGATGCTCACATGTGCATTTAATCAGTGCTTTTTTCCTTAAAAAAATGTTTAGGGGTACTCTCGTTTTGACTCAAGAAAATCACCATTTTATAGTTTAAATGGGGAAAAATAAATACAGTAAATGGACGAAAGTACGAAGATTCACAAAATGTTTAGGGTTATGAGTCCCCCTGTGTCCCCCAAGAAAAAAAAGCACTGCATTTAATTAAGGGCATAGTTGATCTGAAGAAGACAACAACCTGCACCTGTAAACAGATGAAAACTGAGTCTTGTTTAGTGGAATGGGGATACAGAAATTTGGAGTGGGGTTGAGTACAGAATCCATGGCAACATCCAGAAAACAGGATTTAGATACAATGATGAAAAATTGCACATGCCAATGTATAAACAAATATAAATTCTGACTGAAGTGTAAAGATACCACTTCACAGCTATTTCCTTTTTAAAAACAGGGAAAATGCCTTTTTTTGACAACCAGTTAGACAATTTGTATGCTTTTATCAATTAAAAGTTTATATGAAGAATGCAGGATATTTCAGTGAACCATATTTAACAGGATAGGATAAAGTTGCCATAAAATTCCAATAAAAACGCATTGACTGATATAAGAATTAAACATGTTGCATACTGAGGGGGAAGGGGAAGTTCCTCATAGTGAGACGAGAGTTGTGAGAATGTGAGCATCAGGAGTTTCTACATTCATGGATCCTGTATTTTGGAATCCAACAATACTACCATTACTATAGGCATTGGGACGTGCAGCCCCAAATCAGCAATATGGTAATTTAGGCTTAGACAACTCACTATAATTTTAAAACATCACAAACAGTACATAGAACTCTTTCATTCAGATGTCTAATTTCCACCCCCATAACATCTCTTAGTATACTTTTATACTAAGATGAATGTATAACCTTTCAATGATATCATGGCCCAGTAGGCCACTACTAATTAAAATAACCAAATTGGAAATCTTAGTTTTAGGTTTTACATTACTCATTAATTGTTATTTCTGAAACTAGACCAAACACTGAATAGGTCCACTTTTTATATATTGGGAAACTCACCTAAAACAGTGAAATTAAAGTCCAAACATCTTTTCCCCCTTCTCTGTCACAACTGTAACACACATTTCTAAAGTTCCTTTGGTGATTTTGGTGCAAGTTCACTTTTTTCTTTTCTTTATCAGTAATCAACACAGAATTCTCCATTCATCATCTTGCTATTTTTTTAAAAAAATCTTCTCATGATTGGAACTCTTGTCTCTAGATATCGCTCTACAGATCAAGATGTAACTCTACAGCATTAAGCTGGAGGATCATGGGTTAATGATTTAACAAAAGAAGAAGTGCAGATTGTGGCCTGCAATAATAATATAGATTTGAAATGTAAGATTTAAGGGAAGTGCTGATAGCTGTTATTGAACGCTTCAACTGCACCAGTGTGAAACCAGAGATCTGTTTTGTACCAGTTAAGTGATGCACCAAAATCTCTCAAAGCATTTTCATAAAGTATAAAGATAAAAACAACATTATTCTACTACTTTTCCACATCACATATTTAACCTCCTTATTTTGAATTTTAATTCCAACTGTAACCACCTACTAAATTCCCACATCACAGCAACTTGCTGGAGCCCCCTTAACACCACAAATACAAAAATAGCTTTTGAAATGTTGCAACATTATTTAAATAAAACTCTCCTCACATGATGTAAGCAGTCCATACAAATGGATGATTCATGATAAACATTACTCTCAAACAATCAAACATGGATTTATATTGTTGGGACACTTAAAATTAATAGGTTATCATAAAATTAGGTAACCATGAAATTACTGGCCAATACACTACAGAGGTTTGATCCCCCCCTCCCCCACGCTTCCAAGATTTTTACCATAAAGTGACCAGCAGATAGTTATTCAAAGATACCTTTCCCAATACAAGTATTTAAAATTTAAAGATCAGTTTTGGTCATAAATGCTCTATGGTTAGTATTAGAAGACATTAATTAGATCTGCCTTACTTGTATCATGTTACACTGCAACACAAACCTGATACAGATTCTTTTAAAGGTCGTAATAAGAGATTTAGCACTATTATACACAAGTAGTCTTTGAAGACCATGAAATTATTGGAATTTTCAGAATCATTGGGTGGTTAATTATTCTCAACTATTCTGATAGAAATCACAGAGATATTACTGGGTATAATTTAATATGACAACCAAACCCTTGTAATATTTTATATATTGGTGTTATCTAACAACAGGGAAGAACTTACAAAAAGAAAGGCATCTTCTTCCAACAACTACGTATCAGTATCTGTAGCCAATTTTCTATTTTGTTTCTTGGCCAGTTGAAATACATTCTAATCAAGACCCTCTTGTTCTTCACCACTGTCCCCTCTTGTATCCATTCTTTTCTCTTTATGGCCATTGTAAATTCTCCTCATCTCCTCTTCATACTTGATAAAGTTTTCCCCAAATCTTGTCCATGCTTTGTATGGGACAGTGATGGTGTTACGGTAGGGAGGCCTCACTTCACTTACCTTCAAAAAAATACCGTACCTGTTGGACCCCACATCAAAGTAGAACCTCTTGTTGTCTACCCTGAAGGAGGTCCCTTCTGGGAGTTCAGGAGGCTCATCACCTCCACTCCTCCTTTCTTCTATGTCTCCTTCACCATACTCTTCAATGAGCTGGACCAAAGCATCCCTGAACTCAATCATCCCCTGTGCTGGAAGGACAATAGTTTGTTCCTGTCCCAAACTGTGACCAAAATATCCTATCATGCCTGGTCCTCTAATCAAGGTTTGTCTAATCCGTAAGAAACGTCCACGTTGGTTCTCCTTCAGGTCTAGGTAATACTTCCTATTGTCTCTTTCAATATACTCAGTTTTTAAGACGCTGTGAAGATGCTCTTCTGAGCCAACTGATGCTGGAGGTGATGGTGGGTGATGGTGTTGCCGTCTTCTTGAATCTTGTTCTTTGCCATTACTGTGATCATTCCGATGACTCTGGCTGCCTTTTAGGCCCAAATGGGCATAGTGCTCTATGAAATCTCCCAGACAATCCTTTAGCTCAGAAGCTACTGACAAGGAGAGAGTCAGCTTGCTTTTCCTGATATTGTCCTGCCTGCCTCTTCCTATCCAGACTTCTGCTATCTTCAGAAAGCGGCCTCGGGAACTCTGTTTCACATCCAAATAAAACCTCTTTTTTTGGATGTCCACTCTTTTGGAGGCCAGCTCCTGGATCTCCATGCAGCCCGCCTGAGAAGAGGAGGCAGGATAATGATACTGCTGCTGGGACTGGGAGTAAATGCTCCTGTGTAGGCCAGAGCCCCCCACACTCCTTCCTCCTCCTCCTCCTCTGCCTCTCTCCATCTTTACCAATCAACTGAAAACAACAAATATATGACAAAGATGCATAACACCATAGACATCCAGCATGCCTATTCTGCTTTCCCGGCAATAGCCTCTCTGTACATAATTAATTTCTCTAGAAAGTTGCTCCACTAACACTCCTCTTGCCTTTTATTCCAACCCACAGTACTGTGGGAGCGAGAGAGAGAGAAACAGAGCCTGTTCAACCCATAAGAGCTATGGATGTTACAAGGGGCAGGGAGGGATTTGGAGCCTTTCCTGACAGGGATGCATTGTGGTAAAAGCTTCACATGCAAAATTTCTGAAGGTTATTAACAATTTTAGAGAGAGCATAAATCTTAAAAGAGAAAAGCGGTGATGTAGGGCTGCCATCCCCCTGCCCACCTTCACTGGCCCTGCTTGTGCCTTAAATAGCTTCCCAGCATATAGAAACTTTCGCCAGCTTTTCCTGGCGAAGGGACTATTATTTAGAAGACATCTGATAGCAGCCCTGTATTGGGGAGTTTTTAATGTTTTACATTTTACTATGTTTTTTACATGTTTTGTAAGCCGTCCAGAGTGGCTGGGGGAAACCCAGCCAAATGGGACAGGTAATAATAATAATGTGGAGGATTCCCTGGTCCTGAATGGGGTAACTGTGCCCCTGAAGGACCAGGTGTGAAGCCTGGGAGTCATTTTGGAGTCACAGCTGTCCATGGAGGAACAGGTGAAATCTGTGTCCAGGGCAGCTGTTTACCAGCTCCATCTGGTATGCAGGCTGAGACCCTATTTGCCTGCGGACTGCCACGCCAGACTGGTGCATGCTCTAATTATCTCCCGCTTGGACTACTGCAATGCACTCTACGTGGGGCTACCTTTGAAGGTGACCCAGAAACTACAACTAATCCAGAATGCGGCAGCCAGATTGGTGACTGGGAGCTGCCGCCGAGACCATATAACACCGGTCTTGAAAGACCTACATTGGCTCCCAGTACGTTTCCGAGCACAATTCAAAGTGTTGGTGCTGACCTTTAAAGCCCTAAGCGGCCTCGGTCCAGTATACCTGAAGGAGCGTCTCCACCCCCATCGTTCTACCCGGACACTGAGGTCCAGCACCGAGGGCCTTCTGGCGGTTCCCTCACTGCGAGAAGCCAAGTTACAGGGAACCAGGCAGAGGGCCTTCTCGGTAGTGGCGCCTGCCCTGTGGAACACCCTCCCACCAGATGTCAAAGAGAACAACAACTACCAGACTTTTAGAAGACATCTGAAGGCAGCCCTGTTTAGGGAAGCTTTTAATGTTTGATGTATTACAGTATTTTAATATTCTGCTGGAAGCTGCCCAGAGTGGCGGGGAAGCCCAGCCAGATGCGCGGGGTATAAATAATAAATTATTATTATTATTATTAATGATAGAAAAGCCTTCATTTGCTGAATTTCAGCATGTCAGGACTGGGAAAGCTCAGTTGGCACAACACGAGGCTCTGAATCTCAGGGTCAAGAATTTCAGGGTGGTGGGTTCGAGCCCCACGTTGGGCAAAATATTCCTGCATCGCAGGATGGCGGGACTAGATGATCCTCGTCGTCCCTTCCAGCTCTATGATTCTAGGATACAGGATCAGGGCCAGCAAAGAATGAAAGAAAAGGTAACCCTATACCAGCGCCCCTCTTCTGAAATTTCTGCATGTGCTGCTGCTGCCGCCGCCGCCGTTCAAGGCACAAGGTAGCATGCATGCCCTTTGTTGGGGATGCAGGATAAGGGGAAGGGGAAACCCCTGGAATACAGGCAAAAAATAAATTGCCACCCTTCCCGATTACGGGCCTTCCCGCCACCACAAGCCTCTCTAACTGCTCCGCTGTCTCTCCCCCCCCCCGCCGCCCTCGGCAACAGCCTCCCAGGGTCAAAGCCAACCCCGCTTTTTCTACCTGCGGGAGCAACCCCCACCCCTCCACCTGACACAGCAGGTGACTATTCCCACGGACACCCCCTCATCTCCTCAGGCCGACAGACACGGCGCTCTCCGTGCTGTGGGGGGGGGGATGGGGAGGGAAGGATCACCCGCCGCCATGACACGCAGGCGAGGCGGGCGAGGAGGGAGCCAGGCGAGGGGATACTTACTCCATCTCTTCAGCCGCTCCTCGCCTCCTTCCTTCCTTCCTCGCTCGCCAGCTAGCCAGTCAGCCGCCGCTGGCCCCCGCAGCGCTCGCCTTCCCCGCGCTGCCGCCCGCAGGGAGCCGGAGAGGAGCATCCCCGGCCGGGCAGGTCCTACCGCCCGCCCGCCCGGCTCGCCTCCCGCCGCCGCCTCAGGTCCGTTTCTTCCGCCGGGAAGCCCGGACGGAGCCCGCTCTCCGCGCCAGTGGACGGAAGGAGCAGGGCGACGAGCGGGGAGAGGGGCCCGGGGGTTCGTTTCCCGTCGCCAAAGCCTACCGGCCTCCTCTCCCGCCTCCCCTCACAGAACCGCAAACTACAAGCCCCAGAATGCCGCGCGGGTGCCAGAGGCCGGCGGGCGCGGAAAGCGCTACGCGCATGCGTCTCACCTCATTTCACCTTCTAGAGTTGACAGCTGCGGAAAAGGGAGGGAGGGCGAAGGGATGGGCTGGAGAGGCGCGGTAAGCGATGTCATTCTTTTGCGACAGTAGCGTCGGCGGCTCGTGACGGCTATTTAGCGGGTCTGGCGGGAAAGGTTGCTAGGATGAGGGTGAGGATCCCAGGGAAGGCTTAGATCAGGTGAGTTGTCCAACGCCGAGCCTTCTTCGGACTGGCAATGTCTATGACTGGGTTGAATAAGGTTGTATGTACACGCAGAAATTGATTTTGAGCCCTTTGCACTGGTTCCATACTCGCATAGTTACTTCAGTTTGCAGTGTTGTTATGCTGCATACCTATGCACTTACCTGGCAGTAAGTTACATTTTTTAAAACGGGAGGAGGGTTTACTTCTCGGGAAACGTGTATAATATTAATTAATAATAATAATTAATAATAACAATAATTTATTATTTATACCCCGCCCATCTGGCTGGGTTTCCCCAGCCACTCTGGGCGGCTTCCAACTGAATATTAAAAACAGTACAGCATCAGACATTAAAAACTTCCCTAAAGAGGGCTGCCTTCAGTTGTCTTTTAAAAGTAAAATAGTTGTTTATTGCTTTGACATCTGAATATTTTCAGATGAATATATGGTTAAGCAATATCTTTTCTTTATGTTATTTACTTATGTGGAAAACTTACATTCTGACTTTCCCCCAAATAACTGATTGGAATGGATTGACCTATGCCACACCAATCATTTCATTATTAGACTGAGCCAAGTTGCATGCTTGTTATTTCTTCTATTCCAGTTAACATACAAATCCAAACAAAGTTGATAGGAATATGGATTCTTCATCAAATAAACTACCTCAGTGGATGACTGAACAGGCCAAAGGGGACAAAAAGGTAAGGAATGGGAATATGCTTGATTCACACAAGAGGACAAGAACGAAAACAGCAGTAAAAAGTGGCAGCACTGATTGTACTTCTGTGTGCAGTTTCTAATTAGCAAATCACATAGAATTTTCCCGTTTCACGGAAAAATGTAAAACTACTGCATTTCTTAGATTTATTATGTCCCAAATAGTGTTGATGTTAGCTTGATACCATTGCTCATGAGGACTGGGTGTTGTGATTGCATGACCTGAAAAGTATTCCAAAGGAACAGTCATCAGTGACTCTCCTTAAGGTTTGCAGGTTGAGTAGTGGAGATTGAGTTGATGACATGGCATGTGGTGACATAGCAAATAATCTCTGTGTTGGAAGATGTATATGTTTTATATATGCGTGGGGCAAAGCATTTTCTTGGTATGCATTGGATGCATTAACTTCTCTAATTACCTATCGACAGAAATTGTTGTGATGCTTTTGTAACCTGGACAGGAAGGCAAGCGCACTGTGACCTGTGCCAGTATGATTGATCTGAAAAACCATTTCTTAAACATCCTTTACAACAAGCTCTCTTTTGCATTTTTATGAACCAGAGTAATCCAGTCCATCGGAGTGCCCTGGAAGACAACCTTCCCTTCTTAGAATTCCATGGTTCCGTTGTTTACAGCTATAATGCAAACGATTGTTCCTTACTCTCAGAGGATATTGCGTAAGAGACTGAAAGTTTAATTTAAACTGCTAACCCTATGGCATCTCATTTTTGTAAGCTGAAAAAAAAATTATGTTCATTAGGCTGTTATAGACAAATCTAATCCAAATGTGGGAGCCACCTCCAAAATCTAGGAATAAGGGCCATTAATTGAAAGAGGTATGATGTCGTCTATATTTCTCTCTCTCTCTCTCTCTCTCTCTCTCTCTCTCTCACACACACACACACACACACACACACAGAATCAATCAATTAAAAAAATGAAGGACACCCCCCCTTGCAAAGATTTATACAGTCTTTCATGTCAAGTTAGTACTAAGGATCCTTGCAAGTACTAGGTCTGGCACAGAACTGATAAAATAGTCATGCAGTATTTCTTGAAGGAAGAAAAGACACTAACAAATATTACCTGTGCAAATCTATGCCCTCTAGGTTTAGAAAGGCTTGCTTCTGAATAATCCTGCACAGGATTGCACTGTACTAATCCTGTTAATACCTTTTATCTTCTAGTACAACCTTATCCTATGGAGCTGCATTAGGATTTGACATTGAATGGCCGCCATGCTACACTAAAGGGAAGGAGGGCAAAGTTGCTTTAGTCCAACTCTGCGGATCTGAACAAAAGTGCTATTTGTTTCACATCTCTTCTATGTCAAGTCAGTACTGTGTAGTTAATCTCTCAACAAATTGTACTTGTTAAATTGTCCTTTCATCTAAGCTGTAGCTCAGTTTGTTTGCTTTGTTGAACACAATTTACCATATTTTTTGCTCTATAAGACACACCAGACAATAAGACGCACATAGTTTCTGAAGGAGGAAAACAAGAAAAAAAATATTTTGAATCCCAGAAGCCAGAACAGCAAGAGGGATCGCTGCTTTCGCTGTGCAACGATCCCTCTTGCTGTTCTGGCTTCTGGGATAGCTGCGCAGCCTGCACTCACTCCATAAGACGCACACACATTTCCCCTTACTTTTTAGGAGGGAAAAAGTGTGTCTTATAGAGCAAAAAATACGGTATTTTGTAAAGCAGCAAAAGGCCTGCTCTCACAATAGTAGGACGTTTTGTACCCTGGCTGTCCAAACTCTGTAACCAAGAAAAGCTGGACTTGCTTAACTTATGCAATGTGAGAACCATCTTGGTGGATTTCAGTGTTCAGGGAGGTTCTGTAATCCTTCCCACAGTGGAATACCGGTCAAATATATAACTTGATATAACTGTACCATGCGGTTCTACTGCATAATGTATAGTACAGACTCATGCTGAGTATTTTGCAGTTGTGGAGGGAGAGAGGTTCTCACTATGTCAAGTGTGATGTCTACCTGAAGGGATCCTGATCTCCATGATGCCGAGTGTGATAATCTTTTCCGTTGTAGCAAATCTGATCAGATTTATTTTCTGACAAAATATTGTTTTTATTGATGTGTAAACTGGAAAGTTCACAGGTGTCAGTTTAGCACAATTTAAATTGCTTCATTCTGTTGAGGGAGGAGAGAGTAGGATTCTTAGTGCAGAAGGAAGTACAGTTGGAATTTATCATTTCACAGCATATCTCTGCCTGTACAGTTCCACTACTTTTATTTCCCAGATCAAAAAGGAGCAATATCTGGAAACGGGCATTCAGTATTTTTCTGCTGTGTAGGAAAGACATGCTCAAATTTCCTGAGACTGCTTTTCTTGGTTCCCAGGGCCTTCCAGGCCCAAAGTGGTGGCAGAAAGAGAATATTATAGCAGCTACTTGTTGAGAGTGCTTTAAAATCAATCCTTCTTCCCAGGGACGTCTGGGAATTGTAGCTCTCTGAGGGAAATATGGGTATTCTAACTCCTCTCTGAGGGACGCGGGTGGCGCTGTGGGTTAAACCACGGAGCCTAGGACTTGCCGATCAGAAGGTCGGCAGTTCGAATCCCCACGACAGGGTGAGCTCCCGTTGCTCGGTCCCTGCTCTTGCCCACCTAGCAATTCAAAAGCACATCAGAGTGCAAGTAGATAAATAGGTACCACTCCGGCGGGCAGGTAAACGGCATTTCCGTGCACTGCTCTGGTTCGCCAGAGGCGGCTTGGTCATGCTGGCCGCATGACCCGGAAGCTGTATGCCGGCTACCTCGGCCAATAAAGCGAGATGAGCGCCACAACCCCAGAGTCGTCCATGACTGGACTTAACAGTCAGGGGTCCTTTTACCTTTTTAACTCCTCCCTGCACTCTTGACAAACTATATTTCCCATGTTTCTTTGGGTGACGCCATGAATGTATAAAGTGGTATCGTAGTGCTTTAAATGTGGGGTGCTGGTGGGACCAAAGACTGTGTGGCTGTTCCTGAACTGGAAAAATTTATTTTGGCTGCAGTTTTCTGTTCCTAGCAAGGGATTTTTGGGGACACCAATTCCTCAGCTTCTGGTGTTTCTTCTCCTCACTTAGGTCAGGTTGTTTGGGGAGGTGACACTGGTTTCTTCATGCTCGTTTCTTTTGCTCCCACTGAGCCTGTGAACCAAAGCTCAGTGCTTCAGATTCAGTGCTATCCATTACCGTATTTTTCGCACCATAGTGCGCACCGGACCATAGGGTGCACCTAGTTTTTAGACGGGGAAATCAATAAAAAAAATATTTCCCCCCCTCCAGCTCCAAAGAGCAGCGTACAGGCTGCCCACAACCTCTCCCTTGCCGGAGGGGTTGTGCGCAGCTATGGCACAAGCTAAGGCAGCGAGCGGGATGGATTGCGCTGGCTGTTTTGGCTTCCTCTTTAGCCCTGCGCATTCCCTCCCTGCCGGGAGAGGCTGCGTGGAGCTAAAGAAGCCATAGCCCCGAGCAGCCTCTCCCTGCCGGAGGGGTTACGCGCGGCTATGGCACAAGCCTGCATTCGCTCCATAGGACGCACACACATTTCCCCTCAGTTTTTGGAGGGGAAAAATTGCGACCAATGGAGCGAAAAGTACGGTATGTATCAATGCATACACAGTACTTCAACTCTGTAGCTAATATTCATGTCTACTTTCTGTTTCTGGGCTGAACCTAAGTTCTTTTGAATTTATGAGCTGTATCTCTAGATCAGCTCGTGAATATGGTCAGAATTCTCTTGGGAGGAAGGGTGGGGTAAAAAAAAAATGTAATGAAATATTCTGTTGTTTATTCAGCAATTCTAGCTGAAAATATCTCTTTTTTTGGTGGGTAGGTAATTTAATGTATAGCTGCGGTGGTGCAGCTGTGATAGAGACCAGAATAACATATAATTTACTTCTTTCTTTTTTAAAAATAAACATTGTGAGAAGCCTACGGTTACATTAAATAGATAGGATATATAAATTCCTTAAGGTGGTTATTTTAAAAA